GCTCAGCAAGGAGCTTCAAAAGGGATGATTTTGATTTATTTTCCAGTTTTCCTCTCACTGTTACTAAGTGAATTCAATGCAGGTGACTTCCCTGTAGATTAAGGCTCTCTGGCATAAGAAAACCAGAGGAGGCAGTGACAGGGCAGGCAGGTCCCCAGGCTTCTGGGACACCTGCAGGCCAGTGGTCATTTCGTGTCACTCCCCTGTGGGGACAGTGTGCCAGCACTGCTGACCAGAAGGGGATCTGGGACAGTTATGTGTGCCATTGGCTGCTGTCCTGTTCCTTTCAGAGTAGCACAGTCCTTGAAGGAGGGAGAAAATGGTGTGTAATGTATCCTCTGCTCTCCCCTCAGGTGGATGCTCTGCTCTGACACCTTTCTTGCCCATTACAGGTGATGGCCCAGCAGCTCTTGGTGATCTTCAGTGGATGCTACGTCCGGCTCCTGGTGACTGGCCAGCTCCCTCGGGCTGGGGCAGGGGGGCACCTGGAGCACAGCACTGTGCCCTGTCTCTGCCAGTTCATTGAGGCCACTGTTCTCAACACACACCACAGCTGGTTCATGGGCAGGTGACTGGGAAATGCTGAGATTAAAGCTGTCCCTACACACCAGTGTGAAGAAGTCATGGGGCAGAGGAGAGGGCTGTAATCCCTCATCCTGGATTTATCCAGATGAACACATGGGAACAGGACTCTAATAAAACATGCAAGATACTCATGAGAAAGCTGCTGACCTTGGAGACGTGCCTGCTCACAAGCTCAGTGTGAAGGACCTGTCCTGGGGGTCAGTCCAGGGACAAGCCTGGAGCTCCCATGGGAAATTTCCCACTGCTCCTACTTGGGGCCATGGGGAACATCCACAGGTGTCAGCCCCTTGCCTTTGGAATGAAGCACTTGGGGGTCTTAGAACAAGGAAGAAGGCAAAATCCTTGCCTAGCAGTGTTGAAAATGTGATGTTTGCTCTGGATTGTGATTGTGTCAGTCATCAATGACATTGAGTTTTGTCCTGTGACAGACATGGGCAATGTCTCAGCTGGTGACTTGGCAAACTTTCCACCTAGGAACAAGGTGAAGATGGTGCTCAGTATCTGCCACTTCTGCTGCCTCCCCTGGGAGGACGGTGATGGACATAGAATCATGGAATCCAGGACTGGTTTAGGTTGGAAGGGACCTTAAAGCTCATCTCATTGCAATCTCCTGCCATGGGCAGGGACACCTTCCACTAGACCACCAGACATCTTGATGATCCATGGGGTCAAGCCTTAAAGAAGGCACTGGGAAGGGCATCTTGGAGCACAACTCTTTTCAGGCTCCCCTTGCTGCTCCATTTTGGGTCAGGCTATTTCTTTTCTCTTTCCTGTCCTCCTTTCTCCCCACTGCATTTGCATACAGAATGTAAGAGCAGCCAGTGCTGAGCAGGAGACATTAGTGTGTGTGTGTGTGTAGCCCATGAGGGATTGGGAAATAAAGCACTGTAAGCCTGAAAAAGGTGGTGCCCATGAGTGAAGAATTGCTGTTGTCCTCCTCTGTCCCACAGCCAGGCAATTCCATGAAATTCCTGTGGCTCCATGCACTGACATTTACTCAACCACCTAACCCACAGTTTGGCAGTGACAACTGTCCTAGGAAGTGGCAATGGTCAAAATAAAAGAGCCTAAGGTCTGTGTTTTCCAGCCTTGCTGTGACTGAGTGTGCATGGGAGATTGGGATCTGTTCTCCACTTTCCAGCCTGCCCTCCCCATCTCCTGCAGAGCCCCACAGCCCCCAAGCAGGGGGTGTCTCTCCCACTTTAACAAAGCTTAGCTTGGCCCACACAAAGCCAGGAGGGCTTTAAAACTGAGGTCACTGTGTACATTCCCTCCTGCCACTGTGCATCTCCCCCTCACCAGCAAAGGCCAAACTATCTCTTGGGGCAACAAGAGGCTGAGCCCTGGAACACTGGGAGCTTACAGCTGCCTCTCCCCAGGGTGCAGGATGACTCTGCTCCCTCTCATTATTTCTCTCACAAGCAATGGAGAGACAAGATCTATCTCTTCCTACAGGCACAGCCAGGTGACCCTCAGCAGAGTCCCCGTGCTGCCAACACAGGATCCCTCAGCAGTGAGTCCTCATGCTGCCAGTGCATGATCCCAAGCACCATAAAGACAGCAAACCCATTCCAGGAGAAAAACCACCACACTCCCAACCAGCTGCTTTTATCCATCTTTACTTCTGGTTCAGCTGGGGCTGTCACAGGAGGGTTCAGGCAGAGTCCTCTCCACATATGTGGAGTTTGTGATTCTGCTGTCATTGCTCTGTGACAGTGAGGGGTTTGAGGGAGTCAGATCTGGCTGTGGTCCCTGTAGCCTCTGCTCTGGGGGTGCTGCATGTCACCTCAGGTGCTGCCTGCCCAGTCAGGATGGCTTCAGCAGCTTAGTGGGCATGGGGAAAGGGGTTGTGCAAAACATCATGAGATTTCCACAGACCTGAGCTCCAAGACTCCTTACTGGAGCTCAGGAACTGATTTTACCTGCATGGAAACTGTCTGAATTTATAGCAATATCATTGGGAGCACAATTTGGTTTCATAGCATAAAAATCCAATTCGCTGCTAGGATGCAATGGCTCTTCCCCTGGTGCTCCATGGCCCAAAAGTGCCAGGAGAATCTGACACATACTGGGAACATTTTTTTTCCCCAGCTAGAAAATTCTGCTAATGAGACTGATCAGGACATTTTCTATCATTGTGCTTCTGTGTTGAGAGCAGATACAGGAGGGATTTGCTGATATTTTCCAATCCCTGGGCTGCAGGATACTCAGCAAGAAGATTCCCAGGAAAAATCGGTGGGAAGAAATCTCGTGGCCTTCATGGGAGGACCACGAGAGCTTTTACTGTCAGGACTTGCATTGGATGGGGTTGACATTCCTGGGAGGGGAGGTTGTTGCTTCGGGAGGTGCTGGTACCTCTGCCTTTACATCTGCAAATGCACAAGGATCAAAGAGAGGGATTCAGGATTAACCAAAGGGAAAGATTATTGAAAGGACACTCTGCTTCTCCTCCAGGTGCCCTTAATTAAGGCATTAGTGAAGAGAGAGAGCCCCTTTCCCTCATCTCCTCCCCCTCATTAGGGATCTGGCTGTTACTATAGGGGACAGGTGATACTCTGGAGACTTTATAGGACCCCCATGGCACACATTTCCCTTTCCTCCTTCACACAGGAAGGGAATAGCTCAGCTCTTCATCTTCCCAGTGTCTCCAGTGACAGCTAAGCTCCTGGCAGAGATGGACATCACAGGCATGGCCTGACTGCTGTGGCAGCTCCCTGGGAATGTGCTCCTGCCTGGGAGCAGCTCTGGGGATGTTTGCTCAGGAGTAACCGGCAGTGACTCAGCCCAAACCAGTGCAACAGGTATTGTCGGGGCAGATCTCTCCAGGGCTGAGATTTCTCTGTTTGCTCTTCAAAACCGAGTTTCCTTTGCCAGTGAGCTCGAAGTTGGGGAAGGCAGGAGCAGCTCCCAGGGCTGAGCTCTCCTCGCTGGGAGCAGCC